GTGGAGCCCCCGCTCCCCGGACTCCACTCCTCCGAAAACCAATGTTCCCCCGACATGATCTCGCACCCCGACACCCCGAGCCCCGAGCCGGGCCTGACCGGCTCGCTGCACCCCCTCCCCCGCGAGGGCTTTCGCGGCGGGGCCCCGCCTCACCCGCCTCTCTCTCCCCTGCTCCAGATTACCAAGGAGACTACTACGGGCCAAGCGGGAACTACGATTTTTTCCCCCACGGGCCTCCCTCGCAAGCCCAGTCCCCAGCAGACTCCAGCTACCTTCCGACCTCAGGGCCCGGCTCCACGCCCCTGGGGCCCCTGGAGCCCCCGCTCCCCGGACACCACTCCTCCGAAAACCAAAGGTACACCGACATGATCTCGCACCCCGACACCCCGAGCCCCGAGCCGGGCCTGACCGGCTCGCTGCACCCCATCCCCGGCGAGGTCTTCAGCGGCGGCCCCAGCCCCCCTTTCTCCATGTCCAGCAACAGCGGCTACAGCGGCCCCCTCTCGCATCCCAACCAGGAGCTGAACGAGGCAGCGGTGTGGTAGGGCTGACCCAGCCAGCGGGGGTTTGTGGGGGCGCTGGGGACCCCCGGATCCCTCTGCCCCAGGCAGATCCCGCCTCCTCGTCCCAGCCCCGGCTAAGACACCAGGAACCAAAACCGGCCGCCTGACACTGATGCCAAAATTCTCCGGAGTCCCCCCACGCCCCAAGCCAACAGGACCGCGGGCCGCTGGGGCTCCCCGCACTCAGTGTCTTTCTTCCTCGCCACGTGTTAGCAGGCACGGGGCCGAGACGTGCCAGTGCTGACTAACCTCTGCAAGTATCTGAAGCAGCATCTCTTGGACCAAAGCTGAACTGGACTGGATCACAGATTTCCTGATTGACTGAACTTCATACTTTGGGGGGGGGGGGGGCTTTTTCTTTCTTTCTTTCTTTTTGCTCCATCCAGAATTGCATCTTTTTTAATCTTAATCTGGAAATGGGGGGGGGGAAACAACCCCTCATAATCCACTTTTTTTATTAGAAGGTTGGTTTTGTGGTGATGGAGGTGGGAATGGGAACTGGTGTGTCTTGCAAAAGAAAACCTTCACTGATGACAAGGCGCCCCCTCGTGGTTAGTTCTGGCTCAGCTTTCCAGGACTGCAGGACTTTAATGTTTGGAGAGACTTTCATTGGGGTTTGTTTTGTTTTCCACTGGGCAGAAATATAACTAAAACTACCAATAAAAAAGCGATCCAAGTCTGAATGTCTCTGGCAAACACCACTTCAAACCCAAAAGTTTATTGGAGGCTACACGGATTGAAGGATGTATTATAGTTTTTGCTTCTAGTTTCTTTATTTTGTATAAAGAAGAAACAAATAAAGTATGTTTTTGTGTTTACTGGTTATTTATTGTGCTTTAGTCAACTAATGCTCCAACATTTTTATATTTTTAAGAGGGGGATGGGAGGGGAGTGACAGGAAAGAATTTAAAAAAAAAAGGCTAATAATTTTTAAAAACAAAAGAAATTGTTTTTCCAAAGCATTGTGGATTTCCTTTCACCACGGCCTCTTTCAGCTGGTGCCAGCGTGACTAGCGTATATTGTTCAATGTGAATAAAAAACACCTGTTAGTTAACTAATCCTCATTCACCTGCTCCCTTTTTTTAAGAAAAGGAAAATAGCAACCGTGGTTTAAAAAAGGCTTCCATGATAGCTTTAACTTCTTTTTATACGGCCTTCTTGATATTGTTGGGAAAACTCTGGCACGAGACAGTGCCACTAAAATATAGCGCAGAGATCATTCATCTTTACAATATACTTTAATTACACTGCCTAGTGTCAGAGGTATTTATTAATTAGTGTTATTCTAGCCCCCCTCCAGCCTTCTGCAAGAAATGTATATAACATCAGGGGTTTAATCCTGCAATCCTGACTCAGCTGAGTAGCCCTGACTCATGGAAGTACCCAATTTCTGTAGTCCCATTAAACTCCTTATGGGTCAGGAGAACTTCAATGAGCCTGCAGGCTCGAATGCCAGTTCATCTTCCCTCGGAGACGTCTGCCAGGCTTTCTTCAAACGGCCTGGTTGTAGGCCTGATCCCAAGCCCATCCGAGTCAAGACTTCCATTGGCTTCGTCAGTGGGCTTTGGATTGAGCTCCTGTGAGATTCAAGGAGGAGCGGCTTTCCGTTTGTTTTTGCCTCTTGAGCTTCATATTAGCTTGAGGTCAATGCATACACAACACAGGCAAAGAGTGATAATAGATGTTTTGATTATCTTTTCTCTTCTCTGCGAACCACCCCCCGCAAACAAGTCTCCAACTCTACCCAGAAATTGGAGCTCTATAGGAATGATTTACCAAGTGAGCGCCACACTTGTCACAATAGGCCGAGAAAAGAGACGGAGTGAGACCATTTTAATTAGGCAGCCACATTTCTCTCCTCCTCATGCCGCAGCAGCCCTAGAGAAGAAGAAAGCCCGTTCAGAGAGGGCTGAATTGTACACATTATAGCCCACCCAGCAATGGCAGAATCAGTAGAATAATAGCTATGGGATCTGTAACTGCTTAGCGCTGAGGCTAACGCTATAACTAGCTAGGTAATCATTTTTGTTAAAATAAAACTGTCTACAACGATTGGTTTAAAAGTGTGGGTGTGAGAGAGAGACACAGCCCTCAGTGTCTCAGCATGAATAGCTGAAGGATGGCATTCGATTGTTTTATACACATAATTTCTTTACACGCCTGTACAAACGCAACTGACACAGATGCACAGCTAGACACACAGCCAGAGACACACACACCCCTCTTTTACTTTCGACGTTACTTTACAATTCTGGAAATAATTGCCCTGATTTTTTTTTTAATCACCCCCATGCAAACAAGGCCTCTCTCTGCTAAGAAGCAAACGCTGTCCATGCGGTGTTAGGAGTGAGGCT